GTGCGGACCTCGCGGACGCGTCAAGCATAAATCAACCTTAAGAAGGCACTATACAAGTACAGGCCATTTATCATTTACACACACACACACACACACACACACACACACACACACACACACACACACACACACACACACACACACACACACACACTAGTCTGGCAGTAGCAATTAAACCTCCAAACTCCGACCTGTGCTGTCAACCTTAGATTTCACTTCCCAGACATCGAGATGCGAAGCCCCGAGCCGAAGCCTCGGAAAGGTCTGGGGAGGAGGAGCCACGGTGGCGGCCCACAGAGAGGAGCCCTCGGCGGGATCGAGGATGAGAACCAAGCGTGGCTCGCGATGCTGGAGAAAGCAACAAATTCGGTCCGCTACATCAGCCGTCACATCAAGAAGGAACATTTCATACGAGAGGTGAGGGGACACATTTTTGCCCACGTGTCACATTTTTAAAACCTTTAAAAAAAAAGTTGTAAATCTATACCCTAAAGTATGTTTTTCACCAAATCACTCTCACATAAAGTGGTTTCAGGCTTTTTATTCTGCACAGTTTCAGTACTGTCCAGAATGAGCTATTTTCAGGGCTCTGTCACTTTAAGGAAAACATGCTGGCCACACCCACCCATCCCGATTGGCTGTTTTGGGGCGAGGGGCTTGAAGTAGAGCTGCTGCTCCTCTGTGTCCAGAACACAGGCCTCCCTTAGTGACAACGGGTTCTATGCTAATTTTATTTATTGTGATGTCACAATAGGGAACATTTTCACACGGCTCGTAGAAGTGACTGATTCCTGAAACCAAGGTCTTACAGAAACTCGTGGATAGTTTAATGCAGGTTTGATTGTTTAAAGAGGCAGTAGACCATATGACAGCACAACTTATTAGCATAACACGTCCCTTTCAAGTCTATTAGTTTTTCAATCCTTTGTTCCACTTCTTTTGAAGATCCCATTAAATGCGTCCCAACAGAGAAGTTTTCTTTGTGTGAGAAAATGCTTGTTGTGGATTTCTGTCTCCGTCTGTCTCATCAGGTTGTACAGGACTGGAAATTTGTGGCTCAGGTGTTGGACAGGATTTTTCTGTGGGCCTTCCTCACGGTGTCGATACTGGGAACCATTTTAATCTTCACTCCTGCTCTGCAGATGTACCTCAGCACACCTACATCTCATTCTCTGGGACTGAATTGATAAAAGATCTGGACTATTTATTTCGATTTGCAGAAACAAGCTCGGGCTCCAGGTTTCATCTTCCCAGCGGTTTAGTTCGCAGCCTCTAACAACCAGGAACTGTTCTGTTTTAAGTCCTTCTCATCCCTCGTCCCACGCTGCACGTGAATGGGATGTGGGAAAGCGGGAGCAATAAGTAGGATAAAGTAGTGTGAGTGAATTAGACGTGTTTTTATATGGCTGTAATGATGCAGTGATGATTACAGTAAAATGCACAATTTCACTTTGTAAAAAGTCGGCGGTTTTATCTATCGCGTGTAATTTGTTGTCCACTGTATGTTCCATGTGATGCGTCAGAATAAAAGCAAATATTAAATCAATGTTCTTCGACTGTTGAGACTAATTTGATGGCAACCAGGCAACACAGCAGCTACCCAAGGGCTCCATGGAGTCTGCTCATCCAGGTTCAGCTTCCATTAGTTTGGATGTGCAAGAGGATCCTGAAACGACAGTCTGCATTTGTTTTCTTCTTCAGGTTAGATTCATAAGAACGTGGTTTTTTGATCGCCACATAAAATACTCAAAACATCTTAAAGAGGCGGCAAAAACCAAAAATGCCGCCTGACTTAGCTGGCGATAGTCTGGTACCAGCACATTTCCTGCTTGTTTTAGATCATGAACACAACTGATCTGTTTAATTTAGAGATGAATAATTCCTGTAGACACTAATGAAAGCTGAGGGGAGCACAGCGAGAAGGTTTGGTTTTCCGTTCTTCATACAGACACTAGGGGGTGCTAGAAGCGTGCCAAAGCTGTCTAGTTCCCCTTTAAAACACATTTTGATGTCAAGAAAATGCACATTTTTGAACTGCAGCAAAAGTTAGTTAAGGTTTTTGGTGAAAAGACGTATAAGACTACAAATGTTCATCCAACCAAATTTGACATCATTGAATGAGACATGAAGAAGAGGAGGTACCAAACCTTCTTTCGGGACAACAAAAGGAGCATTAAACATGGAGAAAACCCACGATAAGTCCGGCCATGTGATAAGTAGCAGCTACGCTGGAGAGAAGGGATTCTGTAGTGATGTCAGACACACACAACGTCTGATTTGTAGTGATACTATTTACACATTTTTACAAGCTAACAATTCTCAAAGCAAGTGACACACAGTTGAAACTCACAATTCATTTTCATTTAAATTGTAGTACAACATGTGTGTGATTCAGGACTTAAGACAAGGTGGATAAGAAAATAGCTTTTTTAACCCCGTTGACCTGGATTCAATGTCTTCTTAGTTTCAGGACCCGTGAGCCTATCAGAGGGGGAGGAGCCTGATAGTAAAACTTTATTAGAAATGCTGTTGGTTGTTTCTAATCCCAATGAACATGGAGACGGAAATGAAAGAGGAATGGAAGAAGTGGGGGAAAAGGTTCACAAAAATAAACAATAAAAGGTTGTAAAATAATCCACTTCTAGACCTGCAGAGAGAGAGAGACAAAAATAAGGTACACACACAAACAAAACCAACATACAACACCAAACAACATGAGGATATATAACAGTAGCAAAATTTGCTGAAAATTCAATTCAATTCAAGTTTATTCATAAAGCGCCAAATCACGACAAGAGTCGTCTCAAGGCACTTCACATAATAAACATTCCAATTCAGGTCAGTTCATTAAGCCAATCAGAAAAAATGTTTCCTAAATAAGGAACCCAGCAAATTGCATCAATCATACCAAGCAAGCAAGCATGCAGCGAAAGTGGAGAGGAAAACTCCCTTTTAACAGGAAGATACCTCCAGAGGATCCTGGCTCAGTATAAGCAGCCATCCTCCACGACTCACTGGGGATGGAGAAGACAGAGCAGACACACACACACACACACACACACACACACACACACACACACACACACACACACACACACACACACACACACACACACACACACACAAAGTAATGTGTCTATAGTTATATTGTGATGTCTTAGTAAATATTCTATTTGGTGAGAGATAAACTTTATTGTATTTATCCTAGTGGATCTATAATTAAACGGGTAAACTAGTAGTAGCACATCAAAAGTCAATGAAAACAAAAAGTTATTATCAGGAGAGGGAGAATGTTTTAGTGGTTAGCAGCAGTGTGCTAGACGATGGCCCCCTCCATGAGGCCACCACAGCTCAGCAGAACATCGTTGTAGCTTCTTCTGGGGAGAAAAATGCTTAGAGAGAAAATAAAGTTAACAGCTGAAATAGCAGGAAATAATACAGTTAAAGAGCAGATTGTAGAAGAAAGCAGTAGAGTGTGAAAAGTGGTCAGTGTATCCTCCAGCAGTCTAAGCCTATAGCAGCATAACTACAGAGATAACTCTGGATAATCTATCCTATTTAGATGGAGGCATGTTGGAGGCAGGGCAAGGGAGAGCCGTCTTTACCGACTGTACACTCCACCTCCCTCTACTCCCCCACTTGTCCTGATCTAGGCTAACATCAGATTTTAACCATAGGCCCTATCAAATAAAAATGTTTTAAGCCTATTCTTAAAAGTAGACAAGGTGTCTGCCTCACGGACTAAAACTGGGAGCTGGTTGAGCTCTAGGACCAAGCGGAAAACAACTGTTTGTGTTGAAGCCTGTTTCCCATTAGAGCATACTGTAAAGAGCTGATTCTTTTCATGGCTGGAATCGCCAGGCTAGGAGATATTTCCCCCGCTGCTTGGCCAGGGACAACGTTGCTTGTGTTGTGGATGATGCACTGTGGCCAGACCGCAACAGAAGAGAGGAAGCAGCATAGTTTTATTGTTTTACTGTAACTGTATACAGTAAATTCTTCTGTTGTATGTAGTGTATGTGCGCAACTTTGCGCTGGTTGGGAATGGGATAAGCATTGTGTGCAATGTTTTGTGGGAAAACTAAAATAATTTTAACCATGTATTTGTGTGTTCAGAGAGTAAAAACAATATTCTGAAATATTTTACAACACATGTATGCATGTATATACTGTCTGTAGTATAGTAGGTGTAACACAGAACCAAAAAGGCTTGAGTCATTATGATAAATGAGAAGACGTGCTTTCCATTCATCATAGTGTTTTTCATTGAGCACATGAGTGTTCTGCTGGTTCTTATGTCTGTTCATATGATGGTTTGTGTGTCATTTGACAACAAAATCACATTGTGAGGAGAAATAACATGTTTTGAATGTGAAGGTTCATTTTGCAGGTTAACTGAGGGGTTTTGCCCATTGTGTGTATTTTTGGATTTGTGTGTAGAGTTCTGAGGATATGAGGCATGCTTTTAGGAAATGTGTGTAAACAATTGAGAAAAACTGTAAAGCCATCAGCTCTCATTGGCTGATGGCTTGCAGCTGGGGTGCTGAAGGCAGGCAGAGGTGGAAAGTGAGCCTGACTGGGGACCTGTCCAAGGTCCTGAACCGAGAAAGGGAGGAGAGCTGGGCCTTTCAGGAAGTGGGAGCCCAGCATTCCTAACAGAACCTGTGTACGTACACACACTTGTGTATGCAAGGGTTCTCTACAGGAGTGTCTAGCAGATGGATAGACCCCTGGAAGACATGGAGGAGATCCAAGCCACAGAGATCCAGACATCCCTCAGAAACATGGGATCCCAGGGAGTTCGCCACAGGAGCCTACACCCACTCTCACTCCTCATACACACCCTACACACTGGTCCAGGTTCTACTGCACGGAAGGCACAACCATTCCTGGATACAGGAGATGGTCGCGTTCTTACTGGAGTAACAATAAGCATGCCTCCCCATCCAGTGTAGGGCAAAGCCACTCACTACCCCACCAGGCTGTAGTTGCTGGTTTGATGCATCATTGAACAGAAGAATCAACCTTTTTGGCTCATGAGTAATTTTACCTTTTTGATTTTGGCCCTCGTGTTGAAACATTCGCACATTGTTGACCACGAGTCCTCAAGTAAAGACACTTCAGAGAAGATTCAATCCCTCCAGCAGGTTCTGTGTCTCCTTCTGATGGAAAATCTTCAAAAGGAGGCAACCAGGAGAAATGTAACCTCCGTCTGTTTTTGCACCATTCCACCATCACTCAGCAGTGAGACAGAATTTATGTAACTAAATATAATAATAGCTGGATAAATGGATTGTAATGTTGTGGCTTTCCCAGAACAATGACAACTGTTTTTATGTGGGCGTGCTAATAAAAACAGCTTTTTCTTCCACCTGTTCCTGTCAGTAAAGCCGTGACGTTTCACCAAAAGGTTTTAAAGGCCCAACATGTGTGGTTGACCCTGGAGCTCAGCAGCGGACTCGAGTCATGCAGGCTGGAAAAGTCAAATGTTTTTAACTGCAATGACACAAAGTGACCACCAGGTGGTAATAAAGGTTTACTGTTATTTTACCCTAAATATCTGAGTTTAGTTCACTTGTTCAATAATAAACAAAAAATCTCATTTAGAAACAGGCTTAAAATTAGATTTTAAAGAATTATTTAGTGTGAGTTTTCAAGCTTTTGTCGTCTACTGAATATTACACCAAGTCTAAGATTAGTGATGTCATAGATTGTGCTTTGACCCAGTTTTCAGAGGACGGATTTTGTTTCTAGTCTCATTAAAATTGTTTGAACAGTCGGTTGTTTTTTCTGCACTTGAGGAGTCTGACCTCAGTTTTCTCTTTCATTATTCACAGCTACAGATCTGAGTCATAGAGACAGGTGTGTGTGTGTGTGTGTGTGTGTGTGTGTGTGTGTGTGTGTGTGTGTGTGTGTGTGTGTGTGAGACTCCAGGACAAATGTGTGTCTTTATGTTTATATTAAAAGGTTTTAATTCCACTTTGCTGTTAGAAAATTAATAATTTAAGGTTTTAAATTGCGTGACAAGACGCAACAGTCAGATAGACCTAAAAGGCAAAAACTGCCACAAACAGGGTCTCGCTACGATTAAAATGTCCCAATCCTTAAAACGTATAAACATGAAAAAAATAATCAAATATCTGGTTCAAACAAACTACTTATGCCAAATCAAATTCTTATAGTTTTATTACTTTATTGTTTGTTATGTTTATGTATTTAGCAGACGCTGTTGTCCAAAGAGACTTACAAGTGATAATCGGCATGTTGCCCTTGAGGCTAACAACAACAATAACAACAACAATAACTTGACATCAGTCATGGAGGGGTGAGAATGAGGAGTGGACAGTAGAGAGGGGGACGGGTGCAGGGAGGGTGCTAGTTTAGAAGATGCTCTCTGAAGAGCAGGGTCTTCAGGAGTTTCTTGAAAATTGAAAAGGAAGCCGCTGTTCTGGTAGTGTTAGGAAGGTCATTCCACATTTGTGGAACGATGCATGAGAAGAGTCTGGATTGTCCTGAGCGTGGTGTAGGCACTGCTAGCCGACCATC